TTGACTTTGGACCTGTCAAAATGTGTAGCGTAATTTGATGTGTGAATTCAATCTAATTGAAAGGTGTTAAACAATATGCATAGCATGTACTTCAGCTTCAAGTTAGCTACAGTAGGACTGCAAAAACTCTGAAGTACTTTTTTTTTGAAAGGAATTTGAAACATAAACTGCAAAATGTAACCAATAAAGCAGTGGGTAACATAAATTATCTTATTTGGGCCGTGCATTGTGTATTGTGATCACAACTACAGGCCTGCAGAATAGATTATAAATAAATCTTATTATACAATTTGGTATCAAATCATTGACATATCTGAAAGCACAATTAATTACTTGTCAGGTATAATGACTTTAATGTGGAGAACTACTGTGACAGCCATTCCATATCCATAACATCCTACCAATTGAGATGAAGTAAACATTCAGTTAATCTGTTTCCTTTCTCCATGGAATCTTCAGGGAGAAATTTCACTAAGATCTCCAAAGGCATTTTTGCTCTTCCCTGAATGATAGTCTTGCACTGACATTTTGATTTTCACCAACATCTTTAACGTGTTAAAATACCATAAAATGCTTCATTAAAACAATTATAATCTAACTACGAGAAGTGGTTGGAGGATTAATCTGATTTTAAAAAAAAATGTTTGAGGGGGTTTACAAAGAAAGAACTCAAAGATAGTGGGGCAGAAGGGTTTAGAATCTGGGGTCAACAGGGTTGAGGACAGTGTGACCAAAGATGGAACAGAAGTTTCTCTACTGTTGCTGGATCAAAATTCTGGAATTTGCTGTACGAATCTCTTCAAAATCTGTATGCAATATTTTGAAAAGGCTCACCTCCACCTCCTTAAGAGCAACTATAATAAGTGGTTGCTAGACCTTGCTAGGCACACACCCATATCCTGATTTAGTTTTTAATTTTAGAGTAGGAAGAATACAGACCATAGAGTTGATGGAGATATATGAGGGAGAGAGAAGCAAGATGGAAGGATCTGATGACAACAGCAAGAATTTTCAAATTCCTCTTTGGGGTCAGGGAGTTGATAAATAATAGTGAAAACAGGGGTGATATAGTTAAAAGGCTTACTGCACTACCGAATGAGGCTAATGGGGTTTTGGGTGACTTGTGATTTGTAGAACCCATGAGAATAACAAAAAGTACCAATGGAATGATTAAGTCTGACAGTAACAAAGGTTTCAGTAACAGTGGGGATGAGTTGGAACAGAAGCAAAAATTGAAAGTTGAAAAATGTGGTCTTCGTGGCTGTGAGAATGTGTAGTTGAAGCTCAGTTCAGGGTGAAACAGGAAACTGAGGTTATACACTAATGGACTCATTCCGGGAAAGTTATGTAAAATACTTGTGGATAAATACGCAGGTGGCAAATGTTTAATTATTGAGAAAATAACTATATAAGTAGGTATAGTTTTTCTGGGCCCATGGTGCTGGCCTCGGAGGTGGGTGGTCTAAAAATGGTGAGAGGTGCACCAGGACAGCTTGTCAATGTACTGCCACCATTGTGAACTCTGAGCAAGTGGGACTGCTGTCTAATACAATTTTCCTTGATAAGCTTGCAAGTAGAAACAATTTTGAGGCTACTCTGTCATTTTGCCAATGCCAGAGCACCCCATATGTGCAGCTCGTTATAGAGGCCAACATGCTGCCAAGAAGTGACAACACTTAGAAAAATGCAGAGTTGGAGCCATGATCAATCCAATGTGGGAGATTCCTCTTATAAATGCTTGACTGAACAGTCTATAGGCAAAGCACAGCAAAAGCATCCTCCCAGTTTTCCACCCTATTTCAGCAGCATCCACTTCACCTTGTTCTGGTTGCTGAGACTCTAGAATTGTTGAGCCTCTGATTGGGTAAGAAGCACCGAGAATCCACCCACCATTACAAGTAGGCTGGTACCACCTCCAAGAGGACTGTTCTTCTGATCTTGATCCTGATAAGTGTGGATTTGGGGAACCATATGTGGCAGCACAGTGGCTTAGTTGTTAGCACTGGTGCCTCAGCTCCAGGGGGACCTGGGTTCGATTCTACCCTCGGGTGACTGTCTGCGTGGAGTTTGCACATTCTCCTGTGTCTGTGTGGGCTTCCGCTGGGTGCTTTGGTTTCCTTCCACAGTCCAAAGATGTACAGGTTATTTGGATTGGCCATGCTAAATTGCTCATTGTATCCAGGGATGTGTAAATTAGGTGGATTAACCATGGGGAATGCTGGGTTACGGGGGTCTGGGTGGGATGCTGTTTGGAAGGTCAGTCCGGACCCGGTGGGCTGAAAGGACTGCTTCCACACTGTGGGGATTCTATGATTATATAATCAGAAAAGCCACAGTAAAATGCAGGGCAATGGAGTAGTACCTGGAAACATCTGTGTATACTAAGTGAAATACAGTAAAAAATGTGGGTGAGAGGGAACTCCAGAAAATCATAATTCACCTGGGAAGTGGTCCTAAGTAAATTGTTGGAGGTGTGAACTGCCAAGTCCCCACATCCTAAAGGTCTTCACTCTTAAGTTCTCAAAAGAAATGACTCATGAGATTGCTGCTGTGTTGGTCTTAATTTTCAAATTCCTTAGATTCAGGGAAAGTCCAATTAGACTGGAAATAGAAAGCAGGAAACTGCAGGCCTTATAGTTTAACATGTCACATGGAAGTTATTCAAAAGGTATTATTCAAGACATTACCTCAATTTTGTCTAAGTGCTCTGCAATAATCGAGCAGAGTCATCATTTGTGAAAGGGAAATCTTGTTTAACCAATATTTTGGAGTTCTTTTATTCATTAATGGATTGTGGGCATTTCAGGATTCAGCCAGTACCTATTGTGCATCTTGACCTACTCTTGAGAAGTTCCAGGTGAGCTGCGTTCCTGAACTACTGCAGTCGACACAGTGTAGGTACACTAGCAGTGCTGTTAGGGAGGGAGCTCCAGGTTTTTAACCCAGCGGCCCTGAAGAAATGCTGATATTTTTCCAAGCTAGGAATGTCGGTGGCTTGAAGGGTTAACTTGCAAAGCAGTGGTGTTACCATATAACTGCTGCTCTAGAGATTGTGGATTTCAAAGGGGTTGTCCAAAGGGCTTTGGCGAGTTGTTTAAGTGCATTTTGCAAATGGTATACATTGCTGCCACTGTGCATCATTGGCTGAGGGAGTGAATGTTGGAAGTGTTAGATGGCATGCCAAATAAGTGGGTTTTTTTTTGTCCTGGATGGTGTTGGAAAATTAAGGTTTCTGGGAAAAGAAAACTGATCTTGCAATGAGTCAGCACATAACTGTAACACTGTTAGGATCATGCATATGTTTTCTTCTTGTGAATGCAGACCAGGGATTTCCACATTACTATTGGATACATTCAGTGTTTATGTTGGATTATACTGGACAGAGTAAATAAGGAGGTAAGAAACACATTTTCCAAGGTCTGAAAGAGTCATCAATGAAGCGGTTAATTTTTACTGGCAATCTTCATTCAGCTGTTAGTTTCTTTCAGAGGTTACCTGGTTTGTTATGTTATAAAAATTCACCAAATTTCTTGGGAGACTTTCATCTCCTATGAAGCCTCATTATTTATACTGCCTTCGGATAAGGTGGCTAGCTGCTGGTGGGCTGCATCTCGTTTTCTATCAAGCTGTACTAATACATCTGTTATTGTCTAATTAATTTTACTGTATTGAAATGTGTAAAATGCATCCCTTGTCATGAGAATTTAGCAAATATTTAATGTTTGGATAATAGTTTGGGACTGAGACTTGATTTCTGCTGCACTGGAATGTTGATAAGCCTCCAGAGCTATCAAGAGCCTCATGCTCTCTAATAGTCAGGGCACTGGGAACAGAGCCTACAGAGTTGACAGCTCTGAACCCTTGAAATGTTGAACCCAGCCATCTGACTTCCAGATGTTGTATCAAGTGGATCAGGCACAAGAACTTCATGTTTGAGCTGTGACCTTGGTAAGCTGGCTGCTTACAAACATAAGCGTTAAAAAGCTGAGTTTCACCGCATCCAATACAGCTGGTAAAGCAGCAGTAAAGTCTGAGGTCACAGTTCACCATTCCGATTACTTGGCTTTGCTTGCCCATATTCCCAGAACAGAAGCCTGCTATTTAGTAAAAAAGGAATTGTGGAAAAAAAAGAAGCAATTTACGTTAATGCAAAAAATAGTAAAGTGACTGATGGCTTAAACTTTAATGCTCTCAGTTCTCAACATATGGGAAAGACCATATCAATCCATTCTCCATTAATCTCCTAGATCATTCTCCAAGCAAACAGACTACAAATACTCCTGCTTAAAGAGGAAAGAAATGCCTCACGCTGCTGCATTATTTTAACACTCTAGAGTATTACAGTAATGGCAAAAGACAGGAAATTGCCAATTAGACAAAGTGTGTTGTGCAAAACTGAGTTACTGTATCATAAAGTTGCAGAGGCTTGTCCTGGATTTTCTTAAAGTATGATGACAGAAATATGTTTTCTTAAAAAAAAGCATTTGGCCTGCTCAATTATGTCTGTTCGCCTCAGATTTTACATTCAATGTTTCTACGATAAAAGTAATTGTATACAAGTTATATTTTGTTGTTGATATGTGTGTACTTTTAAAACAAAATTTGATGTGCAGAAGAAATTGGGAGCACAGTCAATCGTGAAGTGTCCAATCTTCTTCCAGGCCTAGAATTTGCTTCAATAGAACCAATGGTGGAGGACACTGAGGTTTAACTTTTATTTGGGGGAGGGGGTGGAAATGAAGGAAAGCTGTTTATTTGCTTTTGAATTCTTAGCCACCTGTGCAGCAGAGTCTCTTGTTGTCTAAATAGCCTTTACTGTAGTTGGACAGCAAGTTTTAAAATTCCTGCTTTGAGAACGGTTTTGTTTCTCACTTAAGTCTTTAGATATAAGGAGCCCCTGCAAACCAAAACACAGCCACTAAAATCAGAAAGCACTTTCTGAGTAAATCTCAGAAATAACCTTTGGAAATAACAGCAGAAAAATGACCCCTGGTTGTTACCATTTTGCAAAACTTTCAGCTCACTACTCTCCTCCTGCAGGATATTTTGCACCATCTCCATGATGGCCATTACTCTAGTGCCAGGAAGGCAACAAACTATTCGGGAATGATAGACAAGTGGGACTAAATATGTATTAGGTTACAGGCAGCAAAAAATGGAAAAAACTAGATTATGGAGGGTAGAAAATGGGAGGCCAGCCAGAGAGAATTGCAAAAGTCAAGCCCCGATATGATAAAACAGTTAAGTGATGGTTTCAACAACAGAATGAGTTAAGGCCAGGTGAAGATGGACAAAAGTACAGAGGTGGAAGAAAAGAGTTTTATGAAATTGAACCTAATCTCAGGGTCAAATTGGATACCAATACTAAAACATTCCACTTCATTTGTAGTCAATAGTCAGGAAGTGGGATAATACTGAGGGCTAGAAAAGATTTTGTGGCAGAGTTTGAAGAGAAAAGACACTCATCATGACAAATCTGAGGCAGTTAATGGGTTTATTGACATTGTGGTGACACAGAACTGGGTGTTGTCAGCATATCTAGAATCATAGAATACCTACAGTGTGGAAACAGGCCCTTTGGCCCAACAAGTCCGCACCGACCCTCAGAGCATTCCACCCACACCCACCCTCCTATGACCCACCTAACCTACACTTCCATGAACACTATGGGCAATTTTCCATGGCCAATCCACCTAACCTGAACATCTTTGGACTGTGGGAGGAAACTGGAGCAGCCAGAGGAAACCCACGCAGACATGGGGAGAATGTGCAAATTCCACACAGACAGTCACCCGAGGGTGGAATCGAACCTGGGTCCCTGGCGCTGTGAGGCAGCAGTGCTAACCACTGAGCGCACTTTTGGATGATGTCGGTGAGAGACAGTCACTCCAAGTACTTTGACTGAGTGGCTTGTAACAAAAACTAATTTCAATTATTTGCTTGATTTTTAGCAATTTGGTTAATTTCACCCAATTTTTTTTCAATGGTGCCCACCCATCACCACATATCGTATTCCTTGGTGAAGCTACAAGTGTGAGGCGGTAATTGAAAGTGCACTTCTGGAGGTGACACTACATCATGTAAAGACCTTGGTCTGATTTAGCCGCTTCAGGTTTCCTACTCCTCAGCTGCGTTCTGACTGCAATATTATAATAGAGTGGAGACATGACATGAGCTTACCATAGCATCTCACTGCAGCACTGCATTCTCTGACCTATTGTTCAGATGGTCAAGTTCAATTATAAACATCAAAACCTGCCGCACAACGCTAGCATAATGGGAATTAAATACCTACGGTCTTTCTAGCGTACTCCTTATATAACGTCAGCACATACCTGGCAGATAGGTTAACAAGCAGGCTGGACACAAATCCATCAAATTTGTGAATGTGCTTTGCACCAAGATGTTTAGAAATTTCTTACACATGGTAAATGGAGGAAGCCTACCCTTGGCATTTTGTGTTTCAAAACATATGCAGAAGTACATCTCAAGATACAGGACATCACAGACATGGCTCTGGGCTTAAGCATTCAGGATTCAACGACAATATGTCCAAAAATAACAAAGATTCTACAAAGTCAGCAGTCACATGCTTTCTCTGATGGTGCCTGCATTAAGTACTATTCTAATTCTGTAAAATTGCAACACGAAACCTGATTTCATTTCCTCTTGATACCCTCACAACTCAAATCCTCATCATTGTTCTCTTGTATTTAATTGCTGCTCTTCTCGCATCACATACTCATCTTTAAAATTATTATATCAACTTATTTTGCAAAATTCTGCGTCCAATCCTTCCGTTCTCTCTTCCTAATACCCCATCCCAATATTTACTATCTCTGCAGAATTTGGAAATTTGTGGTTACCACCCAACTCTATGGTCACCTTTTCCTATTTCTATAGCATATGTCAGCCAAAGCATCACGAACATCTCGGTTTTACTTGTTGATGACTTTCTATGTAAATATGACATTGTTGAATTATTCTGCCTCAAACTCTTGACATTATTTGACACGGTCAAACACACCGCTCTTCTTCACTGTTTTGCTTCAGTGATCCAACTCAGGCTAAAGACCATATTCAAACATATTCAACCACGGCCAGTCCCTCTCCTGTAAAGACTTCTCTTTCTAAGCCCATCCAGTCAGCTCATACCTGCCAAGGTCCCAATTTTTTGTCTCTACGTTGAACCATTGACTTCCTTCTTAATCATAAGGTGGAGTTTGATCATGTTTGCTCGTATACCAAGTTTTACCTCTCCATTATTTTTGCCATCAAGTTGTCATTGAATAGAATCTTCTCCAGCTCAACGTTGGCAAGATCGTGGGATCATTGAGGTTCAGTCAAACACTCCACACCTGAAATATAGTGGGCCTACTCCGCCATTTTTCCAAAGTTAGAGTGAGCCCCCACAAGAGCTCACGCACAGGCCACCCATCTCAGAAGCACCCAGCTCTCCTTGTGTGGCTGCCGAGACTCTAGAATTGCTTATCCTCTGATTGGGCAAGAAGCACTGAGAACTAACTCACCATCATAAACAGGATGGTGCCATCTCCAAGAGGACTGCTCTGATTATCTTGTTCCTGGTAAGTGTGGGTTTGGGAACCATATGTAGTGGCAAAACCCATATTAAAAAATCAGGGCAATGGAGATTGGGTGGAAAGTATCCAGACACAACTGAGTATATTCAATGAAAAGACATCAAAGGATATGAATGAAAGCAAACCATGAAAATCAAATACAAAACTGAGATTGTGACAGTGCAGTGATAATAATGGTATTAGCACAATGCATAGGGATGGTCTAAGTTCAGGTAAGCAGAATGTAGAAGCCATTTGAGAGGAGATTAGATTGACAAAAGTGAGAAGTCACATATGGCAGTGGTGTACAATTCACTTAACAGTCACCATGCAGTAGGGCGCAGTATAAAGAAATTTTGGGAGTTTATTAGAAAGGTACAGTGATAATTGTAGCGCATTATAATCTAAAATATTAGATGGGCAAAAACAGCCTAGATGAGGAGTTCAAAGAATGTTTTTGGGATAGTTTCTTAAAACAACTTGTCTGGAGTTGACCAGACAGCAGGCTATACTAGAACTGTTACTGGCAATGAGGTAGTATTAATGAATTACCTCTTAGAGAAGGCACCCTATGTTGCAGTGATCATGATATGATTAAATTTACATTTACTTTGAGGGAGAGAACAGTGGGTCCAAGGCTAGTATTTTAAAGTTAAATAAATCCGTTAAGAAAGGAAAGCTAGCTAAACTGAACTTGTAAATTACATTAAGGGTTAGGTCAATAGAAATGTAGCGACTGGCATCTGAGGGACATTTCAGAATACAGAGAATAGATCCATTTCACTAAGAACTTAATAATAGACCCATTTCAATTCAAAATAAAAATTCCAAGGAGAGGATCCACAATTCATAGTTTACTGAAAGTTTAAAATTGTATGAAGCTCGAAGAAAAAACATGTAATTATTCAAAGATCAGAAGATTGAACATTATAAGATTTAAAGAGTCCTGCTGACATGGAACTTATCCTTCATTCAGTGTAAATGAAAACATCTTACTGCCATACTGTATTCATATCATCAATCTTAGAACCACTACTGTTAAAGTTTTTATTCTGAATTTCCTCCTTTCAGCCATTAGCTCAGTAACTGTAACTTCATCCAAAACTTCACAGCACACTTACTATCCTGCTTATAACGCCAGTTAGCCATCATCCTTGGCCTTTCCAACTTCCACCGATTCCTCAAACCTCAATCTGTCCACTTCCTCATTCCACCATACTCTTCCACTTCTTCCACTCCTACTTCATATTTCCCACCATTCCTTTTCCAGCTATAGCCAACTGAGTGTTTTCAGCTTTCTCCCCTTTATCATTTGTGATAGAGTTTTCATTCATCTCACCCCCACCCTTTTTTGGGACTCTTCTGCCAATTCCCTCTCCCTTGCCTCATCAAGTGCTCATAAAATCCTCCTTAAATCTTCCTGAAATCCGAAACCCATGTGCTGTAATTCCCCATTAAGCTTGTTCAGCCCTGAGCTAGAACTGTGAATGGCCTGGATCATTTTGCTAAATTTAAAACACTAAAAAAGTTATCTGAACACAACAGCATGAACCCAGTACAAAAAGATGCACATTCCTGATGATTCATTGATTGCAATAGCATACAATTAAAATTTTATTCAAAAACGTGACGATTTTTTAAAAAATTAACACATGAATAAAGCAACTGAAAAGCTCAACAATCTGGTTGAACTTTGTCCTTCAGACCTCAATTTAAGCTTCCTCATACTGACAGGAAACAGTTGGGATTTTCTACTAGACAAACAGCCTTGAACTTGAGTTCTGCACCTATGACCCTGCTAGAATCCAAAAATACAAGCATTTACTGGCACATAATGTTTCTAGCACAGGCTTTCATTTTAACTATCTGTGTCCCAGATAAATTTCAACCAGTGTCTGACTGTGACAGAGCAGGAACATGAGTATCGTCTGTTAGACTGTGGATGCTTTCATGCAGCACAGAGAATTGCAGTCTTAGTGAATTAAGATTTTCAATGGGAAATTGATTTTATTGATTACTCCATTGTGTAAAGTACAGAAAATTAAGTAACTAGGAGTTGACGTCCAACAACTGAATATTCATCATTTCCCAGAGACCCAACTGCAAAAATTTAAAGATGGAAGTATTATTTGGGCATTGGGATTGATATATTATGGTGTTCGGATTTTCCGCCATTTCACAAAGTAAAAGAACATTTCCTCATAAAAATGTTTTCTCTCATACTTTTTCACTTTTAGCAACAGTGGTCATGAAGTGCTGAGATGCTACTCCATTAATATTCCAACTGCAAGTATCTACTTACTTCACCAGGATTCTTCCAGATTCTCTAGACTCTGGAACAGTTCCTACAAGCAAGAACTTCCTTCCTCAGATAAGGAGATCAAAACTGCATTCAATATTCCAGATGTGGTCTCACCAATGTCCTGTATAATTGCAGCAAGTCATCCTTGCTTTTGTAATCAAATCCCCTCACTATGAAGGCCAATGTAC